CAAAACACATAAAATATTTTTTAAAATAATTACAAAAAGTCACCAAAAATTTAAACTATTAAGACGTAATTCCATTTGAGATAAAATATATGCACAAATGTGTGCAATAAGAACATACATATTTATATGCTGCAGACTTTATGTCTCCAATATCACATTCGTACATAAATAATGGTTTTTGTAGAGCATCATTTGTTGCAATAAAAAAATAATATATTATATTACTCTTCACTCCTATGATATGGAGCTTTCCAGTACAAGAAGATAAAGCAACAAATTATATGGAAAACTTGTTTCAGGGATTTCTTTAGCATTCACTTCGCTACTAATCAGTGTATATTAATAAAATAGAAAAATAAAAACAAGAAAGGCAAAAGAAACAGGCGTATAGAAACAATTGTGGGTTGCAATGAGTTTGAACTGAACACCATACCAGTTGTGATTCGATCGAACATTGTTGCATGAGGTTGGGTGGATTTATTATAAATCCACCAGCAAAATAAAGTGGGTATTTCGTTTGTATGAGGGTGGCACTTCTTTGTACTCTAGATTCTTTGTCCTAAGTATTTTTGATTGTAGTCTTTGCAGTATTTGAATGTTGTATTTGCATGCTGTGCCCCATATTTCGGCTCCATATTTCCATATTGGAGCGATCACTCTTTTATATACTAGTAGTTTATTTTCCACTGTTAGTTTTGATTTCGAGCAGAGTAGCCAGTACAATTGTCCAAAGCGACGCTTCATTTCATTGCTTTTAGCTTTAATATGGTCTTTCCAAGTTAATCTGCTCTCTATAGTAATGCCAACGTAATTTACCTTTGTGTGTGTGAAGACTTTGTCATTGTTAATTTTTATTCGTTTTAGGTCACATTTTTTATTCGTGCAGATAACATGAACTGTTTTGCTTGTATTTATTTGAACTCCCCATTTGTCGAACCATTCGAGCGTTGCGTTTAGGTAATTCTGCAAGTTGTCTGTGGATATGTTAAAATTTTTATTAGCTGCAATTAGGGCTGTATCGTCTACAAAAGTTGCTATCAAACTTTGAGGATTAGAAGGTATCGGGACATCAGCCGTGTATAGCAAGCAGAGTAATGGACCTAGTACGCTTCCTTGGGGCACACAAGCTTTCATTTGTTTAAGTTCGGAGATTGAGTCTTTATACTTCACATAAAAGTATCTATTTTGTAGATAGCTCTTAAGTATGAGGTAAAAGTTTGTTTGAAGAAGCTCTGATAGTTTAGTTAGTAGACCTCCATGCCAAACGCTGTCGAAAGCCTTTGCGACATCTAGATATACCGCCGAGGAAAATTGTTTTGTGTCAATATCACTAGTTATTTTATTAACAACTCTGTGAACTTGTTGTATAGTCGAATACTTTTTCCGAAAGCCGAATTGATGGTCAGGTATAAGTTTTTCTTTATGGAGAATCGGTTCTAGTCTTGATAAAATTATTTTTTCAAACAATTTTGACATAACTGGTAATAGGCTAATTGATCTGTATGATTTTGTTACAGATATGTCGTTATTTGGTTTAGGTATAGTGATTACTTCTGCTACTTTCCAAACTTTCGGAAAATACTTAAGGCGAAAAGCGCAATTAAATAGATTTCTCATATATACAAGTGCTTGAAGAGGCAGCTCAGTCAGAATCTTTCCTGTGATACTATCATATCCCGGTGATTTTTTTGCTTTAATTTTATTTTTAATAGTATTCTTAATCTCTGTTATTGAAATTTTCTTTATTCCGACATTTTGAGTAGAGCTGCTCCGTGTAACGTTGTTATCATGCTGTTTTGGGTTACTAAACGTAGTTTCGAAGTACGTGGCAAAAATTTCAGCTTTTTCGGTGTAAGTTCTAACCCAAATTCCATTTGCTTTCCTCAGTGGTGGTTAATGCATTACTGAGTTGTTGATATTTTTAGTAACTTTCCTTAAAGAATAGTTAGTGACTTTGTCAGCTGTCAAGTTCATTATGCGTTTTTGCAGGTTTTTATTTTGCTCATTAAGTAGCATAATTTCAAGTTCTTTAGTTAGTTTTTTTGTCCTTTTTTAGTTCAGGGGACCGATTTATTTGCCATTGTTTTCTCAATTTTCTTCTGTCCATTATCTTGCTTTTAATTGCCATCGAGATTTTATTTTGAGTGTCGTTTTGTTTAAGAACTGGGGTGGAATTTGTCACGGCAACAGCGATCATTTCGTTTAAGTATAAAATCGCGATTTCGATTTCGTCTTCAAATTTTAAGGAAATATTTATTGTCAGGTCGGTATTAAGAATATCTCTAAACGTGTCCCAACATGTTTTATTATTATAGATTAATTTTGTCCTTGTGATGTTTAGTTTTGTGTCGATTTCATATGATAGCATAATTGGTGAATAATCAGATGATAAGTCAGGAAGTGTACTTACTGTAAGAAATCGTTTATTTATATTTTTGGTCACGAAGAAGTCAATCACGTCTGGTATTTTGTTCATATCGGTAGGACAGTACGTAGGTTCACCTGTGCTTAGAATGTCTGCTTTTTTGTCAATGATAGCATTCTGTAAGTTTTTCCCTTTGCAGTTTGTAATTCTTGAGCCCCACAAAGTATTTTTTGCATTAAAGTCTCCACCAACAATGTATTGATTGCAGAGAGTGTTAAGGTAGCTCAGGTATACATCCTTCGAGTTATTGTGTTGCGGAGGGCAGTAAATAGCTGATACTGTTAACCCGCCTTTTGTATCTTGAATATGGACACTTGTAGCTTGTATTTGTTCTGTTTGGTATATACTGGCTATCGAGCATTGCATGTTTTGCTTAATAATTACTGCTGTACCACCATGGGCTTTGTTGTCGGGATGATTTGTATGATATATCGAAAAGTTAGGAATTTTGATGAAACTTTTGTCTGTGAAGTGTGTCTCTGATACCAGTAGTACATCAAGGGAATTTATATTTAAGTATGTTCTCAGTTCTAGTAGTTGTTTGCTGAGACCGTTTGCATTCCAAGCTAAAATTTTTAATTTATTTCTGTCCATCGAGTTTGATGATTACGATGGTTAAAATATGTATAACGTTGGTAACTTGCGTCATAAGCTGTTTCATCATTTGCTGGAGTTCGGCAAATTCGGAGTTATTTGATTCATTGTTTATTGAAATGGGTTGAGTTGGATGCGATTTTATTATTTCGGCGTATGTTTTAGCTGGTTGGATTTGTTGGGTGGTAGTTATAAGGTACGTAACAGCTTTAGTTGGCAGAGATATTTCGTTATTTTGAGATGTGGTTTTTTGTTGTTTTGCGCGAAGAGCTGGGAATCGTTTGATTTGAAGAGTTTCATAAACTGTACAACCTCTGTAGTTGGCAGTGTGATTCTTTTTACAGAGTGAGCATTTAACAACGTTGTTCTTACCTTTCATGGGACAGTCAATTGTTTTATGTCCTTCGTAGCATTTAACACAGATTGGACTTCTTGTACAAAAATTTTTTGTGTGTCCATACTTTCGATAGTTGGTACATTGTGGTATTGTTCTTTTTGGATGGGGAGGTTCAAAATTTATTTTACAGTGCACTAGGTCTTTGATATTGTAAATTTCCTTGTTATTTACATCTTGTTTACTTTCGATTGTAAATAGGTTTAATAGAGATTTTGTGCGTGAATGCAATACGTTTTGTATATTGCATACTTCATGTCCTAGTTCAGCCAGCTCTAATATAATTTCATTTTTGTTAGCGGAGCGGTGCATACCATGTAGGAAGATCTTAAACCCCCTTTCTTCTTTTGGCTTATACGTGTAGTACTCTACGCTTTTTACTTTAAGAAATTTTACTATGCTAGTGTAATCTACTGATTCATATGTCTAGATTTTTATTTCATTGTTTTGTAATACACAAGTTTCATGTTTAGATATTTGTAGTGCATCTAACGTTTTAATTAGGTTGTCTAGCAGCTGTACTTTTTGCATGTAAATGGGTGGTGGTTTTTTATTTTTAGCCGTTTGATTTTGTGTTGTTTTGCTGTCTTTAGTGGGTTCTTTATCATTATCAGTTGCTAGGACAGCAAACCTATTTGTAGCTAAGAAATACTCGTTTAATGTGTACTGTTTTTTGTTTTGTTTTTGCTTTTTGCCACTTATTTCATTGATTTGCTTACCAGGGGAGCTACGAATTCTCTTATTTACTACTGGCGTGTTAAAGCCATTGTTTTTGTTACAATTACAAAAAAATATGTGAATATACATTAAGACCGAAAAGTTTTCGGAAATTCTCATTTAAAATTCGCGCGCTGTATATTTTTCGATATTTTAAGTTTGTAGTTTGGCAGCACTGTCCTTAATTACTATGCCAAAAATGAGCGCGATCTGTCAGACAGTTCGTTTACGGCAGCTGTTGAAACCAGTTCACCTCAGTAGGGCGTTGCGAAAAAAACAATGGAAAAAAATATTGAACAAAGAGTTTGCATCAAATTTTGTGTTTCGAACGAAATTTCGTGTGCAGAATCGTTGCGAATGCTACAAAAGGCTTATGGGGAATCAGTTTTATCGAAAACTCAAGTTTATGAGTGGTACAAAGCCTTCCAGGACGGTCGTACGACCGTCGAAGACATTTCGCAACGCACTACTGAGGTGAACTGGTTTCAACAGCTGCCGTAAACGAACTGTCTGACAGATCGAGCTCATTTTTGGCATAGTAATTAAGGACAGTGCTGCCAAACTACATAAACTTAAAATATCGAAAAATATACAGCGCGCGAATTTTAAATGAGAATTTCCGAAAACTTTTCAGTCTTAATGTATATGTATTATTTATGTACAAATTATTATTTTTCTCATCAATTTTTAAAATTTATAATAATAAAAATAATAATGAAAATATATAGCATATACGCACTTCCTTCTTATTATGGCATTCTTACGAACAATTTATAATGTCAACATTTTGTTAGAGCATGAGTACATTTGTTGTTGTTTTCAATGCAAATTTTAAATTTGAGAATGAGAGAAAAAACAATATGAGGTTACCTGAGGTATAATGACAATGGGATTTTCTTCCATTTCTAATATCTTCTCTTGTTTTTTTTCACGGTTAAATATATCTGATATTTTTTTATATGCAAATGAGCCACTTGAGGAACTTGAAACTGATGAGCATGGTGAAAAGCTTTTATCGCCATTTAATATCTTCTGTGAATTTTCTTCTACAATCAAACTGACGTGTTGTGGTATTTCAGAACTTTTCACGACTATAACATTCTCTTCATCCTCATTTTCTTGAAGGGTTTCTTCATCTTCACCAATATCACAAGTTAACTGCTTTATTCTCTCCTCTAATGAAATATCCGACTTAACAGTTTTTTTCCTATACAAAATATTTGAATTTTTAAAATATTCATAGAACGTTTGCTAATATATTTACTTAATTAAAGACCTTCTTAACATATTTCTTTCAATACTGCGTTTTAATGTATCTGTGTCTCCGCTACCAGGTAAATTTGGAACAAAGCATCCAGCACGTTTTGATTCATCGAACGCACGCAGAGTTTCGGATGTCAGAGCTGGTGAACAATGTCCCACACTTGGAAAAAGTTGCCGTACAGCCGAATTAGGCCTTAAAGCATTACTGAAGAGGGTCGAGTGTTTTTTTATTGGTATGAGTTCATTTATTTGATTTTCGAAATCATCTACTTCTGATGATAGTTGTTGTATATCATTCTCTGCATTATTACTAACTTCAGTAACAAAGCGAACTGATCGTTTGGTTGAACTGATTTCATCTTCTGATGTAGCATTATTTTGATCATCCAACTACAAAATAAATTTTATTATTAATATAAAAATATATTATTATGCTCACTTGTGACATGGATTCATTTTTCCATAACTTTCCTCCCTTAAGAATGCCGTTAATTTGCGTTGGAGAAGATTCTTTCGGTGGAATGGGTGGTGGCTTTTGGTTATCATTAGTCTTATTGCTCGTGCTTGCAGCTCCAGGTTTAACCGGTAATAATGGTGGTACCAACTCGTCTGCTGTTGTACTATTCAAGTCATTTGTGGCCACATCCTCCAAGGTCTCTCTGATAACACGTCTTTCTGTTATTATAGTTATGGTGATACTTTCAATGATAATAATACAATAATTTGACGTTTTTGTTAAATGTTATATATCACAATTTCTGATTTGAACGCATAAATCAAAATTTAACATAAAGTGCGGTGCAGACTATCATACTGGTATGTCATACGAGGGAGAAAAACGTTGTATGACACATAGGTATGATAGCTGCACCTCTCACCAACATGTTGGCATGCTCGCCAAAATTTTTGTGAGGAGCTCTCGCCAACGTGTGGTGTATGATAGTCTGTCACCTCAAACGATTCATACGTCATACAAGAGCATTTTTACCATACAAATTTATTGTAAGCATGCGATATATGTAGAATTTTAATATAAATTTAATATGCTTTTTATTATTTTATTATTAATGTATTTATTATTATTATTATTTACTATTATTATTATTTATTATTATTAAAATTAAACTTATAAATTTGTGTTAAATATTTAATTGTATTTTAGTTAAAAAAAATATAAATTTTTATATAAAATTTCTATAAAAAATTAAAATACAATTAAATATTTTATGTAATATATTAAATATTTCATTTAATATATTAAATATTTTATTTAATTTTATTTTAATTTATAAACGATGATTATATTTAATTTGTTGTACAAAAAAACGTCTAAATAGAAACATCGTTAAATGAACGATCTAAACTCGGTAATTAAAAAAACGTATAGAAAATTGGTCGTAATAACAATTAATTAATTACCCAAATTTAAGATACAATACTCTGTATTCTAAATATGCTTTTCTTTGTTAAAACTTGTTATTAAATTAAAAGAATTTTAAATGTTAATAAGCTTGAACTAACAAAAATATGGAAATGATCAAATTTCTTGAAAAACAATGAAGATATGTACATTCTTTTATTATTTGTATGGTCTATTTATGGAAAATTTCTTAAGAAATTTTAAAATTTCTTAAGATAAAATATACAAAATTATAAACAATTATAAGCAAAGCGCAACCTATACGTTTGCTTATAATTGATTATAATTTTGTATATTTTATATATGCCGCGTCTTTTTTTGCGGTATTTATATTCACAGCTTTGGACATCCCACAAACAGCGATTATTTTTGTTAACATTCAATGAAAGTATCTCAAAATATTTTATCAGCATCCATATTCATTCTTTTTGGGTTTATTGGTTTATTAATATTAACACTAAATAAGATCTAAAGTAAAAAGGTCATTAA